TGGGAATTTGTTGTTGCAGTTATTTTATTTTATGTTTGCATTTTACGCTCTCCAATTATGTCCCAATAGTGCGGCTAAAGGCATCGCGTTGTGCACACGCTGAGAGGCAGAGAGAGAGGGGGGGAGAGGGACACGTGGATTGAGAACGTCCGCAGGTAATAGTGGCGTCATCCCAAACGTAACAAACGACTTTCCGCACCATTCGTCAATAACGCTGCGTGTGCTTTTGATGTTAAGTTTCTTGTCCCCCCCCCCAACCCCCGCGCCCGCATCTCGGATAAGCACGGTTGGCTACGTACGGTGCGAAAGAAGTCTAACGTACATACATAGAATCGCACAGAGACCCATAGCCTCGCACAGAGACCCATAGACTCACACAGAGACCCATAGCCTCACACAGAGAACCATAGACTCACACGGAGACCCATAGACTCGCACAGAGACCCATAGACTCGCACAGAGACCCATAGACTCGCACAGAGATCCATAGACTCACACAGAGACCCATAGACTCACACAGAGACCCATAGACTCGCATAGAGACCCATAGACTCACACAGAGACCCGTAGACTCGCACAGAGACCCATAGACTTCCACAGAGACCCATAGACTCGCACAGAGACCCAAATACTCGCACAGAAACCCATAGACTCGCACAGAGACCCATAGACTCACACAGAGACCCATAGACTCGCACAGAAACCCATAGACTCACACAGAGACCCATAGACTCACACGGAGACCCATAGACTCACACGGAGACCCATAGACTCACACGGAGAACCATAGACTCACACAGAGAACCATAGACTCACACAGAGACCCATAGACTCATACGGAGACCCATAGACTCGCACAGAGACCCATAGGCTCACACAGAGACCCATAGACTCACACGGAGACCCATAGACTCGCATCTACATCAGTGGCATCTCCATCTACAGGAGATGATACAAACGTTGAAGCCATTCCACCTGTTTAGTGAACACGCCGTACACAATGTTTGAAATCGACGGGAGTAAAGTTGGACTTACGACCAAATCGACGTTTGAACAGACCTCCAGAACCGAACTCGTTCGTAAGTAGAAGAATCCCTGTCCAACAAACACCTGGTGTACCCAGACAGCCCCCCATCAAAGGACGAGAGAGACAGAGCGCAAGAGCACGCCGGCCACTTTCAGGGGCCGTTGTTGGCAAATATTGGAATTGATGATGGGCGGATGGGTGGGTGGCAGGGCCGTCCATGGGGGCTTTGGGGGGGGTGTGGGGCCCGGGGCAAACCACACACGGTGCCCCCCCCCCTACGCCTCCAAACTAAATCGGAAGCAGATTTGAAGCTTTCGTGACTGCAAGGATTCATATTCTTAGGTTTTTCCGGTAAAGTCACGTAGGTAAAAAAATTAAAATTCATAAAAGTAAAATAAAAATAAAATAAAAATCACGACTGCTGCATCAAGTGTTGATGCAGCAGTCGTGCTGTGACGGTTCCATCTGAAGACGGAAGCTTGTGTTGCCTCCGAAACGTCGTGATTTTTATTTTATTTTTATTTAACTTTTATTAATTTTAATTTTTTTTTTATTTTACCTACGTGACTTTACCGAAAAAACCTAAGAATATAAATCGGAAGCATTACATCTGACATCCTGATGGTGAAGCGCCCCCCCCCCCCAAATCGCGGGGCCCGAAGCAGTCGCCCGATTCGCCGTATCCCAGGGACGGCTCTGTTGGGCGGTGCCGATGATCGATGGGTTTATTTTGTTTGTAGTGCAGTGGCGTCGATGTTGATGTTTGGGTTAAATGTAATATTCATCACGGCAAAACACTCCTGTGTGTATGAGCGCCCCAACCCCCCACGCCGCCCAATGACCCCACACCTACCTCGCCCCCACTTCCGTGCCCTCGTGACACGTGCAGAGTAAATGATGTGTGCGCACCACGCGTGTTTACAGACACGCTCAGAGAGAGACAGGCAAGTCCGCTCGCTCGCTCGAACGTCCCCCAAAGTGCACAAGCCCCTTCGGCAACGGGAACACAACTCCTCCGGTCGCCTCGACTCCCACCAACACTGGTCAACACACTTTTTTTCTGGCATAAGATATTCCAACGGTTTTAGAGATAATTTTGGGGTGCTGATTCCAAATCTCACATCAGTTTTTTGAGATATCAAATATTGAATTTTCAATAAAAACTGCGGAAGAAAAATATTAAATAAATGTGGATATCCACATAAAATGATATTATAAACACACTATACTAAAAATACAGCACCATATTTTAACACTAAAGCAGTCACTGACTCGCAACAACTTGCAATCATAAGTGACAGAGTTAATTTCAGGTAAAATCAAATGAAAATGGGGTATGCCGATAGCATAAAAATGAGATGTGATAGAGCAAATCTGAGATCAGATTTAGAATCGGCACCCTGAAATTAGTCTAAAACAGCTGCAAAAGTCCAGGCCAGAAAAAAAATATTTTTTTTGTTGACCAGTGCAATGCTCCGTGCCTCTGCGTTAGCAACAACAACAACAAAAGTACATCCAAGTCCTCGTTTAACGCATCAGACGCGTTCCTCAAAAGTGCCGTGTTGGCACGAAAAACGCGTGAAGCGAAAAACTATTTACCCAGAAATAATGCAAGGGTAGAGTTTTGGCGACGCACGATGTGCTTGCTACTGCTACTACTACGCGCACACTCCGCGAAATAGCGGGACAAAGAACTGAGGGTACTGTATGATTCCGCGTACTGTATCATACCGCTTGTCGTTTAGCTCAATAAAGCAGTTCATCGTCCACCCCATCAGATACTGTGTTGAAATGGGCGCGTTCCGCGTTATAACGGGCGCGTTCTGAATTATAAAAGGGCGAGTTTTGCGTTATAACTGGCGAGTTTTGGGTTATAACGGGCGAGTTTTGCGTTATAACGGGCGCATTCCACGTTATAACGGGCGAGTTTTGCGTTATAACGGGCGGGTTTTGCGTTATAACGGGCGGGTTTTGCGTTATAACGGGCAAGTGTTGCGTTATAACGGGCGAGTTTTGCGTTATAACGGGCGAGTTTTGCGTTATAACGGGCGAGTTTTGCGTTATAACGGGCGGGTTTTGCGTTATAACGGGCGAGTTTTGCGTTATAACGGGCGAGTTTTGCGTTATAACGGGGGGTTTTGCGTTATAACGGGCAAGTGTTGCGTTATAACGGGCGAGTTTTGCGTTATAACGGGCGAGTTTTGCGTTATAACGGGCGGGTTTTGCGTTATAACGGGCAAGTGTTGCGTTATAACGGGCGAGTTTTGCGTTATAACGGGCGGGTTTTGCGTTATAACGGGCGGGTTTTGCGTTATAACGGGCGGGTTTTGCGTTATAACGGGCGGGTTTTGCGTTATAACGGGCAAGTGTTGCGTTATAACGGGCGAGTTTTGCGTTATAACGGGCGAGTTTTGCGTTATAACGGGCGGGTTTTGCGTTATAACGGGTGGGTTTTGCGTTATAACTGGCGGGTTTTGCGTTATAACGGGCGAGTTTTGCGTTATAACGGCCGAGTTTTGCGTTATAACGGGCGAGTTTCGCGTTATAACGGGCGAGTTTCGCGTTATAACGGCCGAGTTTTTCGTTATAACGGCCGAGTTTTGCGTTATGACGGGCGAGTTTTGCGTTATAACTGGCGAGTTTTGCGTTATAACGGGCGAGTTTTGCGTTATGACGGGCGAGTTTTGCGTTATAACGGGTGGGTTTTGCGTTATAACGGGCGAGTTTTGCGTTTTAACGGGCGGGTTTTGCGTTATAACGGGTGGGTTTTGCGTTATAACTGGCGAGTTTTGCGTTATAACGGCCGAGTTTTGCGTTATAACGGCCGAGTTTTGCGTTATAACGGCCGAGTTTTGCGTTATGACGGGCGAGTTTTGCGTTATAACGGGCGAGTTTTGAGTTATAACGGCCGAGTTTTGCGTTATGACGGGCGAGTTTTGCGTTATAACGGGTGGGTTTTGCGTTATAACGGGCGAGTTTTGCGTTTTAACGGGCAAGTGTTGCGTTATAACGGCCGAGTTTTGCGTTATAACGGGCGAGTTTTGCGTTATAACGGGCGAGTTTTGCGTTATAACGGGCGAGTTTTGCGTTATAACGGGTGGGTTTTGCGTTATAACTGGCGGGTTTTGCGTTATAACGGGCGAGTTTCGCGTTATAACGGGCGAGTTTCGCGTTATAACGGCCGAGTTTTGCGTTATAACGGCCGAGTTTTGCGTTATGACGGGCGAGTTTTGCGTTATAACTGGCGAGTTTTGCGTTATAACGGGCGAGTTTTGCGTTATAACGGGCGGGTTTTGCGTTATAACGGGCGAGTTTTGAGTTATAACGGCCGAGTTTTGCGTTATAACGGGCGAGTTTTACGTTATAACGGCCGAGTTTTGCGTTATAACGTGCGAGTTTTGCGTTATAACGGGCGAGTTTCGCGTTATAACGGCCGAGTTTTGCGTTATAACGGCCGAGTTTTGCGTTATAACGGCCGAGTTTTGTGTTATAACGGCCGAGTTTTGCGTTATAATGGCCGAGTTTTGCGTTATAACGGGCGAGTTTTGCGTTATAACGGCCGAGTTTTGCGTTATAACGGCCGAGTTTTGCGTTATAACGGGCGAGTTTTGCGTTATAACGGGCGCATTCCGCGTTGTGCTAACAGTGTTCCGTAATGGAATAAGCGCAATTCTAAGCTTCGTCTTTGTGTCTTGGGACTGCGGTTCAAACAATATATACATATTTTCTCAACGCCCCAACAAACGCATTACATCCGAAACACGCTGTATTTGTCACAACATAATTATTTGGCTTCGTCGGTGAGAACATTGGTAACGAATCAACCTTGAAATCCATTACCTAACGCAGCGTGTTAACAAACAACAAATATCAACAAATGGGGGGGGGGGGGGGTTGGCAGAGGCGCGCGGGCGTGACGTTGACCACCCACCCCCTCGTGACCCGTGACGACCTTCACAGGTGCTACTCGCGATCAGCACTTGCCCCAGCGGTCTGTTAAGACTCGACGGGGGATCTTT